ACCGTCATCGTATCGCATCCTGCCAAGCAATCTCTTACTTTGTTCGTCGTCCGCTCTCTGCAGCAAGGACAACTGTGGTTTATAAGAAGAAAATAAAGGACATCATGGCAAAATTCCCCTCGGTTTATCCCATTGTCACTCATCTGTATCTGAACGAAATTGAAAACTTATAATCAGAAATATCGAGTTGGTTTGCCCGATGGACGAGTTAAAATATGGCCTTTCGGTAGCCGATGTCAACCAGCGGTTCGCGATCTGGGATGGCCCAAGACCCATCTAGTTGACAGCGTGTCGGTTGCTATGTTTGCTGCGGTGACCTGTTGGCTTCAGTGAAAAGTGAAGCTGTAAGAACGCGACGCAAGCCTATTCTTAATCACCGTTGGTTACGTCGACTTTTCGAAACCGAGCAAAAGTCACGCAAGCGGAGCGCCGTTCTTACCTCTAAGTCAGTTTGAGTAGTTGTGACTTATGACTCAGGTACTGAAGACAATGTAGCATTAATAGTGATCATAATTTATGGACGGTGAGAACGCGATGCGTATAAGCGGGCCGGTCGCTACATCACGCGCTTCATTTTGGCGTGAGGCATTTTAGCACTCTGTCGTGACGCGGCCACATCGATTGCATGCTCGTCCTCGTGTATAGCGCTGTTATTTCGTTTCGCATTCATAGCGAAAACAACATGAATAAATTTGTAACAAAATGAATAATATTTACGTGGGCGGATTGTTCTTCTGCGATTCTTTTCGCCCGATAAACCGCACTTCCAGGCTCATATGCGAATACGCAAAAATGGTATCGAAACCCTGTTGTGACTAGTTTAATTCTGCCCTTACGAACCTTGCGTTTTTCGACTACCGCCTAATAGGCAACAGCTATCCGCAGAGAGTCTCGATAGCGACTTCCGGTCGAGAGCAGTCAATCGTGAAGAACCGACACCGACTGCTGAATACCGACTCGAATGGCCACGGCCTCTTCAGTGTGATTGAAAGTTTGTAACAAGCAATGTGCAGCTGTGCTTCAATCATTACCATTAGCTTACTGATCGAGCAAAACCGTTCAAATCCAAATTGGCACTTCAAGTTTGCGAAATCGTACAATACGCAGATTGCGTCTGTAATCGTCCGCAAATAAAGTTCACTGCAATCAGAATGTCATAAAAGTCATTTACAACGACCCATCTCATCAAATGGTTGACAGCATCATGTACAGATTGGGACAACTTCCGTTTCGCATTTCTTCGCTCTGAACGGTTCAACGCTCAGGTGATGTTGTTATTCTGCATTTTCTGATGTTATGCAGCTATCGTCATTTTCAGCCTTATTTCATCTAGTGTACAAGTGTCTAATTCTCTGTTCAAGGGGCAGCGAGCGCGATGAAGGCGTTCCACGTTAGAGGGCTGAAACGAACACCAGCGTAATGCTTTCGTTCGAATTCAGGATACCGTTGATGACCTTGCTTTGACTGTATTAAGAGGCATGCCTTGCCTTAGTTACCATGCCCTCAGCAAATTACTATTTCAATCTTCTTAGCAAAGCTTCACGGCCTAGAGAATAACATCAACTTCTTCGCTCTGATACTCGATCCTTTGTTTCGCTTGTTACCCACTCTCCGCCCAGGCTTAGGCTTGTTAAAAAAAAGACTACGAGAATTGTTAAAACTCCCGTTTCATGATGGTTTTAGAATTTAGCAGCTCTCTGTACGGTTCTTCACCGAAGAAAGACCTCAGATGCTACCGAGCTCGTCCATGGATTGCGGATAGTTTAACAATGTTCAGATATGAAAGTTGGAAAGTTTACTGTTTGAAAAGGGTCACTGCAAAGCACATTTTTCAGCATTGTCAAGACGCGATAAATAAATAAGATAGAACAGATAGGTGATAACTAAGGTAATGTTCACAGTGAATAGAATAAATGCGGAAGATATGTGGGATTGCTGCGAACTAAAAAGAGAACAGAAAATCTGATAATATAACGGACGTGGTAGAGCCACTTCAACCACTGGCGATGTAGGTATTTTTAACCCTTAATGTGCCGGAAATGTTATATGATGAATGAGTCGCGATTACGCAGGCATGCGGCCTATTCCAAAGTAGCCATAATCGTTCCGAGTCTGTATCGAGACGCCCTGCCATTTACTTCACCGTATTCCGTTTCGCAATTCCACTGTGTCACCATTTGCTGAGCCGCAGATCTTGATATGGCCGTTTTCGTAATCCTGCATGCAGTCTATTTCGCTTCTCTTATTTAAACCGTTAATGCATTTATTTAATTTCCGCATTTTTACTTTTTAACTACTTCAAGGAACAAAATGTCTTGGTGGTCTTGTTCAAGCAGGTAAACGTTTAAATTTGCTGTTTAATTTATAATTCGGTCATTCTCCTAGAGGCAGTTATATTAAAGAAATCTGTGAGAAACTATTCATCTATTGCACTGAGTCCTATCTCGCAATATCAATGAGGGCCGCAGAAACAGTAGGACAAGCCCGGCTGTAGCATTGCCTCGTCTAGCCGAGCCTCGGCCGCCGCCCGTCCGCGACCGCACTTGTCTTGACTGACGGATCGGCTTCTATGCGGCGGCGGCGGCGGCGGCGGCGTTTTTATGCCGCGTGCGCCGTGCTGCGTAAATATTAATGAGTCTTCGAAGAGGCATGAAAGTGACCGGCGTCCAGAGCGCTGTATGGCGCCGGTCGATGCGGCGAGATTTATGAAAATGGGTGTTCTGGGTACGTTTAGTCATGCAAATAGATTGCGGCCTGCCGTGTTCTTTGGCGCAGTCTGTCTTGGGCCCTTCAAACGATGGATGCCTCCCTAGTGTCCGACAGAGAATGCCTCTGACCGCCCGACCGCTCATTCGCTTGATTGAGCGCAGCCTAGCTAAACACGACAGCGACTGCCAGTGACGTCACGCATACTGAATGTTGACCATTGTCCAGTTCGTCGTTTTCGCAACGGCAACCACTTGGCCGAGATGATCACTTCAACGGTACACAATGATCATCGAGCGGCCAGCTCTTTGTCGATGGTCATTCGATACTTGGCGATTGTTATTCACCATGCGAGCGGCGGGCGGGAGGTGACTGTCGGCAGCTGTGGCTGAAATTGAGAACCTTGTCGACTGTGCTCACTTGGCCGTGACGGGTCGGGTCGACTGACCGTGTCGGCTGACAGGTAACTCTACGCCGTTTTTAAGCCACGTCCTCCAGGCACACAGCACCTTGGCCGCACAAGCATACATCTTCAACGCAGTTCACCCTGGAAAGATCGCAACTATTAATCCTTTCCACGTTAAAACTTTTTCCATCGTAACTATATTCTTTTAAAAAGACGCGACATATGTCAAGCAGATCACAAACCAGGTACTGGCACCTACAGTGTCAAGTTCATATCCGATACACAAAGCAGACAGGTTTAAAACTAAACGTTCTATCACTTCGAAACGCTTGAGTCATTGCATTTACGTTCTGCGAGTGGCTCATGCCAAACGGCCAATTGGGACTCTCTGCTGAAGGTTTGACAATTGCTGTACGCGTAGAATATTCTCGTTTCGTACTACAAGGCCGCTTTTGAAACGCCAATGCATTTCCATATCCGCAGCACAGTATGGTGATACTTCTACCGTCTTGCCACTGCACCTACAGTATCGCCAGTTGCTAATAGTATTATAAATTGAACACATAATCGTACCACGAACGGTAGAGTTAATCCGAGCAGTTGAAACATTAGAAAGCTTAATGCATCAGATGCACTAAGTGAATTAATTCATCAGTCAGATGTTTCGACACGTACATATGGAATATTACGGTATGTAGAATTATACTATTAGATATTCTGATATCATACCAACATTGTGTCTTGATGATGCTGCTCCGTCAAGCGAAACTGTCACTGCTTAAATCTGTGTTGCTTCGTGTTTTCAACGAATCGGCGAACAGTCTGCAATTTCAACAACGGACACAATCGAAAATGTTTTTTTTCATGTTCAACATGGTTATATTAGATTTGTTTTTTAGACAAAGTTGATTTGTAGTCATTACCAATTGTTTTGAATAAAATTAGCAAAACGCGTCTGTGGCATCTGAAATGCTAGCGAATCAGTCAGTGCAGCTAGCCTCATAGGTTGTCGCCCAGGTCACCAAGTGCCGCGTAGGTTGTTGGTGGACTGAAGCAGGCAGCGGAACTTTCTGGCAATCACAACCTGCTCCTCGCCTTCTGTCAACCGGGGCTGTAGAAGCACAAAAACGGCTGCCGAACATCGACGAAAGGACGACAATGATATCAATCAGCAACAGATTCGCCACCCGTTCTGAACGGAGGAGGCAGAGCGTGTGATGCCATTATAGCACGACAGAAAAGGCTCCACTAGAACCATACCACCGCTAGGAACATACTGCCGGAAATTAGAATGTATCCTTACTAACAGGGGAAGACCAAGAGTTAGTTGATGAGGCCGTAAGATACTATCTCAAAACAGTTGGACTCTC